GTATCGAAGCTTTTAGGGTTTCGATTTTTTCCCAGTATGGACCCTTATGAAACTGAAACAGTTGTGGAAGATGAAATCCACGATGCTAAACCATCGGAAGACGTTGAAGACGATGACGACAAATCTCAGCCTCACTCTGGTGGTGGCGTCGATAGTGCTGGGTACGTTTTTTCTATCTCTCTTCCCGATAAAGATTTCTAGATTCAGGAATTAGGGTTTTTGGTGCCTTCTCTCAATTTCGATTCCGCTAGGGTTTTCAAGATTACTTACTCTGATTTCGGTTTGATTATGTGGAATTCATGGATTGTTAGGGTTTGTCTTATTGTTTTGAGATAGAAAAGTAGAAAAGATTCGAACTTTAGTGGAGAAGGATAAGATTAGTCCTCTTCTCTGGTTTCTTTATACTTAGTGAATTTAGTGTACTTATACGATGTTTTGTGGAATTATTTGTAGAAAGATATTTGTTGGAGGTTTAGCCAGGGAGACAACTTCAGGTTAGCTCTTTTGTGTCTGGTTGCAACATTGTAAAAAAGAGGTTAGCTCTCTCGTTATTGTGTTCAAGTTCAATGCTTTTATAACTCTGGATTTTGATTTGTTTGTGCAGCTGAATTCGTCAAGCATTTTGAGAAGTATGGAGAGATTACTGATTCTGTGATTATGAAGGATCGGAAAACTGGACAGCCACGAGGATTTGGGTTTGTGACGTACGCTGATTCCTCGGTTGTTGACAAAGTTATCCAGGACAATCACATCTTAAATGGAAAGCAGGTTAGATTGAGCGAGCTCTATGCCTTATAACAGTTTTAAGTGTGCTTAGTTGTTTTGCCTTACAGTTCGATAATGCTCACTTCTTTTTTTGGCTATTCAGGTTGAAATTAAGCGAACAATACCAAGAGGATCCGTGAGCTCCAACGATTTCAAAACCAAGAAGATCTTTGTTGGTGGAATTCCTTCAACTGTGGAAGATGGTAAAACACTCTTCTATATTACCCCTTGTATAGATTATGTTTATCGATGAAGTTACTCATATAGTGATTGGTATTTGTATAGATGAGTTCAAGGAGTTCTTTAAGCAATTTGGAGAGCTTAAAGAACACCAAATTATGCGTGATCACTCAACTGGAAGATCACGTGGCTTTGGGTTTGTTACATATGAAAGTGAAGATATGGTTGATCTTCTCTTGGCGAAAGGGAACAGAATTGAGCTTTCAGGGACTCAGGTAACTGAACTCTCTTTTAAAGATTGTTGAGATTCTAAGGCTTTGTAGATTATGGGAACACTCACATCTCTCCCTTCCTTTGTTTTATTGTCTCTTATAGGTAGAGATAAAGAAGGCAGAGCCGAAAAAACCAAACTCAGTTACAACCCCATCAAAGCGGTTCAATGAATCGCGCTCTAACTTTGGTGGAGGCTATGGAGATGGTTATGGTGGCGGATATGGTGGTCCAGGTGGTCCTTACAAGTCAGGTGGTGGAGGCTATGGAGGTGGCCGGTCTGGTGGTTATGGACCATATGGTGGAGAATTTGGCGGGTATGGCGGAGGTGGATACGGTGGTGGTGTCGGACCTTATAGAGGAGATCCCGCACTTGGATACTCTGGTCGTTA